ACGGCGGTTGTAATTAGTTACCTCGCACCGTTCAGGGAAATGTTCCTGCTCTTGAGTCGGCGCTCCTCGGTCGCTAAAAACCGGCGCAAGTGGCGCGACGCGCCACGTCCGTCAAGCCTCGTTACGCAGTCCCGCGAGCCGGCGTGAAGCCGGCCGAGGCGGCGGGAGCGCTCCCCGCTCACGCGTCACGCCGTGCGCGAGGTCGCCTCGCGCGTCACGTCGGCCGCGGTGGGAGCGGGCGGCGGCGCGTGACGGGCGCACGTCGCGCGGCGACGACAGTCACGGCGCGCGCGCGACACATTCCGCCGATACGGATCGAAGTGGCCGCCTCTCGAGTGGCCCTCGCGGCCGGCACGCGGCCGGGCTGATGGGTCCGGCCCATTTCCAGTGTGGTCCTGTCGCCTGGCGCGGCCCCCGCCGGTCGCCCAGATCGGTCCCAAGTTCGCACCGGCTCCGTGAGAGCCCGACCGCCCCGGCGGCGAGACCGTGATTTTTCACGGCGGGTGTCACGGATGTGGCCGATTTCTGACAGCGCATTGTCTTTGGGAGATCAGAATCGGCAGCACTGCACGGCGTCCCCGAATGGGTCCGGGTGCAGACAGGCTGTGGACTTTGAAACCAGTTGCTCAACCTACGTTGCGAGACTGAGTATCCTCTACATATCCATGAGGCAGTAATTGCAAACGCTTCTGCAGCTGCGGCCTTGCATCTACAGATCCCAATGAATGGCAGCTGATGAAGGTCCCGCCGCCTTTCGCGTCTCCTCTAGCCTTCCCACGGGTGGGAGTTTAACGGCGGACCTCGACGGACGCCGGCTGTTCTCCGCGGCCCGCTGGCTCTTGAAGGGCGGCACGCCTGGTCGCACCGGAGCCTTGACCTGCAGCGAGCCGGGGCCGATGAGGGGGAGGGGGGGGGGGAGCCGGGCACGCTGCGCGCGGCGCTAACTCACCCCGAGCAGGCCGTTGGAGCGGTGTCGCGGGCGACTCTCACCGCTGCTGCCTCCTCCCCCTCACCCCGCGACCCGGGGAACTGTACGGACGAGTCGTGCATCGTGTGGTGTGAGTCATGACGGTTAGACGCTGGGCGGTTTAAAGCAGGCTGTTCATCTGCGCCGAGTGGGGTGCAGGGCACGGCGCCGGTCAGGATGATGGGCACACCCTGCGTAATTTTGTGTCATATGCACTACTCCGTGCCTTGGTTTCCTTAGGGATGAGCTTAACACATGATCGGAGACGCTTCGCGTTATACGGATGAGCGCCGTAAAATCTAGCTTCTAAAATTTAAGATGGCTGTTTATGAATTGAGAATTAGGCCGGTGGCTAGTGTACAACAGATTTTCACGGAACAAGACGTGCTTGGCTGCTGTTTAGCTTATTGCACAAGGGTCTTTAACATGTTTATCTCGTGATTTTGCATGCGCCTCGAGTCTGGGGGTAAGGCCTTGCCATCGCGGCATGTAAGCCTGAGCGGGGGAATGCGCCCTGTGACGGGCTGGATTTAGTGCTTTGTCAAAGCTGCTTAGCACCAGTCTACTGGCATAAATAGTGGGATTGGTTGGACTTACTGCGATCCCAAAGGGTCGCTTTGTAAGACGTTACTTTCTCCAGTTCTGCGATTGAGGCATCGTCGCGGAGGTGACGCTAGCAGCCAAGGAGGGGCCTCATTGCGAGAACTTCGAGGTGGCAAGACCCCACTTCTCACCTCTTCCAGTCACCGCCGAGTTTTTTGAGAGCCACCTCAGTAGCCCGTCACGCCAGATTTAAGACACTGTAGGAGCCTTCCCCCCCCCCCCCCCCCCCCCAACGTGAGCCCGGCCGCCGCAGTCGTCAGGACAAAGGGCAGGAGCGCTCGCCTCCCACCCGGACTCGTTTACGACGGCGCCAGAGGATGACTGACCGACGGCGGGGAGCCGGCCGAAGGCTGGGGGCATTCCGGTGACGGCGAACGTGCGCTGGCGCATGGCGGCATCCGGTGACTAGTTCCGCTCCGTAGCCTTCGACGGGAGACGGAGCGGGCAAACAGGGAACCCGACACGGAGCTATTGCAGCCGGGCACGCGCGCCGCCAAAACGCTGCCCCCTCACTACACCGGCTGCCGCTCCGACTACTGATTGGAGAGAAGCCGGCCTAATTAGCCTTCATGGGGAAATAGATCGAGGGATGCTGGTGCGGCCGACGGGCTTGGCTCCGACTGTATTCGGCCCGAGCACTATGTAGCTGACGACGCCGATAAGATAGTGTAATGAAGTGAAAATAGCCATTACGTTGGCTTCTATCACCAGCAGCGCCGGCGGCTCGGGCAAAGACTGCAAGCACAGCCACGGCGACCGAATGCACCGTTTCCCTGTCGCGATGTGTGCCGTCGCATATTTGCATCGCACGTCCGTCTGCTGCCTGACGGCTTCGAACGCGGGTGTACAGGCGCATAAATCTGTTTCGCGATTTGGCTGAACATGCGCGTTCAGCACGCACGGGCATTCGTCGGCAAGCGGTGGTGCAGTCGATACATGCGCAGCACATGTCAGCCGGTCAGTTTGCTCTCGACGTGGAACAGTCTGCAGCTCTGGGCGCTGTCCCGTGGGGCGCCTCGGCACACCGGTTCGCCGCATTCCCACGCGCCAGGCATGCCGACACCACAACACGCCACGGCTAACGGACCGCGGTCCAAATCACATAGCCGGCCAGGCTCGGTAACTGGAAGGCCCCGAAATCTGGCCGTCAAAGACCGTGATGGGAACGGGTCCAAGCTGGTGCCCGCACAATTTGCAGGTCCGCTGATTGCGATGTCGCCATTGCTGTGGAATAAGCTGGGTGGTGACTGCGGATGGTCTGAGCATTTCGCAATACACGTAAATCCTCCCTGGAAATTCTTAAAAACCAGGTTGATCCACTTCACACTTATACGTGCTTCCAAACGCCCCCGAAGGACACCTACGCTGACCCAAATACACCTTCTCAGAAAGCAATTCCAGTCAGCGCCTTTCAGCCGATGGTTCGCATACACCCCGGCCCGATAATCCTCCATCGCCACGTAATCCGGCATGGCGAGACTGCAGCTGCCGCCGCTCATCAATTATCACGTTGCCCAGATGGAGGAAGAGTGTATCCCGCGAGTCCACTACAAGGCCGCGCGCCGAGGGCCGGCGACAGGCGGCAGACCCCCTGACACACATCAGCACCTGTTGTTTACCACGGGGACGACCACCTCGCGGCCGCCCCCGCGCCCGGCTTCGGGAAGCAGCCTTGCAGGCCGCCGCCGGCAGCAGGGACGTCCGGGATTAGCGGTCGCGTCCTCACGCGGCCTTGTCTGGGAGGGCTTTCGTAAGCGGCGCGTGAGCTGAGAGAGGGTGAGGGGCGTCTCGGTTGGCTCCACCGAGGCCTCATCATCGGCAACCGGGTCCCGATTGGCTTGAGCGAGGCCGCGACACGAGGTTTTGAGGGGGAGGAGGGGTGGGGGGGGGGGGGGTCCTTGGACGGGCGCGCGGCATCAGCACGGAGGCGGCGAGCTCGAGCCTCGTCTCAGCGCCGCGCCACCACCGAGATATCAGCTTTGCAGGGGTGAGCTCGGGTCTCTGCCCGTCGTGACAGTGCCGAGACGCCAGCCCTGATAGCGCGGCTTATGGGGTCGATCTGGACACTAATAGCCGGGACAACGGGCTCATCGGATCAATGTAATGGCTCAAGCCGACGTGGCACGTGATGACGGGGGTAGCCAGTAGCAGTCACAGAGCTGTGCGCAGCTGACAGGTGGTGACAACGGTAGGTGTCTGCGCTACCTCTGCGCTTTGCGCTTCGGACAATAGGCACAGGCTGTATCGACTCGATATCCACACAGATAGCCGCACTTAACAGCCGGGTAACGAGCGACAATTGTACACTTAATTTGGACCACTCAGCCGTGCTGTGAGCGGCCGGTTCCCACCGAATTGGTGCGATCGAAGCCTTAATGGGTCTTCGAATTTAAAAAGCGTAAAACGAAAACAAGGCACTTGGTGGTGCCTCTAATGGGATGTCGAATCAGATTGTTCGAAAGTGCGTGAAGGTGAAATCTAAGCCATTTTCGGTGATCGTGTTCTAGAGCATCAGATCAGTACAGTTTGGTATGCACACGGTAGTTTTGGGTTGAATTAAATGCGTCTTCAAGCGATTGAGTTTGATTATCATTTGAGAAAGACTGAAAGCGAGGCCAAAGGCTCAAAAAGTGTAGCTGCGCTGGAAAAATCCCCTGGCAACTGTGGTCCGTTGTTTACGCATATGAGCAGAAGATGGTATTGATAAGCTTGATCATACCAAGCTACCACTCTACGTGAATGGGTTATATCCCGTCCATTCTAGGTCAATGAGAACGGATTGTAGTACGCCTGACCTTGCATCTGTCCGTGTTTTGATCACACTTACTGATGGAGCTCTATAATTTGCTCCCTTCTCTTTACAGCCAATGCCCTAAGACTGAGGTAATCTTCGTTGCTGTTTCGTATCGCATTCATATCATACCACCCTTAGCAGGTGGACTTGTGACCAGGATCACGTGCTGCGGCCAGTTCTGACACTAAGCATGTTCACAATCACCCGCTTTCCGACCACATCCCAAGTTGTTAGAAGGGTGAGTGCATCGCGCATCATGCTTACACATGTCGTACACGCCACTGCGAGCGCTTCAGCAGAGCTGCGCGAATCGGAGCGATAATTATGAACGTACAGAACTGATAAAATTATGAATAAAAATGCTTAACAGGACATGCTTTTACAAGACGGTAATAGTAAAGTTCGTGTCTAAGACCCCTTGGCAGTTTTTCAAATGCAGGTGAAAGCGTTGCTAAGCTGTTCAAAGGGGGAACAGATAGGGTTACAGGACACATTCTGCACTTAAGCAAAGGCGTCATTCACAACGTCACACATACGCGCAGGCCAAACTTATTAAAGGCAGTTTCTGACAAGCCGCACACAAACATACAAAGACAGCGGGACCCACACTCAGATGGAGGACTTCACGCCACTTGCCTGATACGTTGCCCGCGTTCACAACCACGACTTTCCTCTAAACGGGACGCTCGTTCAACGGGCCCCTCGCGAGTCGCTGCCAGCAGCTCATCGCCATTACCATCGGCAGTCCTCTCAGTGGTCACTCGAGTGCACGCGCTCTCCGTACCGCGGCCGGCCACCACACGCCGGGGCGCCCCGCTCACGCCCGCACGCCGGCGCCGCGCCAGCCCGACTGCCGCTCGTCCACGCGTGCCACCGCGGCCGAGCGCGGCTGGCCGGTTTAAGCAGGCGTGCCCCCGCGCCGGCGGAAGCGCAGCCCACCCGCTGCAGTGTGCGGCCGAGTGATGGCGTATAAAACGCTACCAGCGGCAGGCTGCACCGAGTAATTGGACGAAGCCGCCGGGAGAGGACGCATCCTGCGCCGGCGCTCCTAATGAGCGGGCTCGAGACGCGAGGTCGGTGGCGCCGCCGCCGACCTCAGCCGCCCTCTTCAGGCCATTTGCGGCGAGATTGTGTCGTCCGGCCCCATGAGCCCGGAAGCGCGAGTGCGCGTGAGTTTGGAGCGCTTCTTGGATTGGCTCCGACTTGATTCTTAATGCTGACTAGTGGAACTGTGAAGTCTTGGTAAAATTTGCGCCGTCCTTGTTCCAACCAGTGGAGTAGTGGCTGTTACGACGCAGAACATTCAGTCGGGAGAACATGTCTCTCTGAGATACTGCGCTTCAGTCTATACCATGTTGCGTGTAAGATTGGGAAAAAGAATATCTTTTCTGCCGGGTTGTGTATTTGACCTTTGTATTACTACATGTCTTGCCGGTGATCCGCCCGCCAGACGCTGATAGGCTCTCAGTGTGGGGAACTTGCGATTTGCCAAATCCTGGGCAGGTCAGGTAGTCGCATTGCACATATTCATCCCTTCGGCCACCGCAAGAATTAGGGAGTCACAGACTGTGCCATCCCTCAACATCTTAACCCGAAGCGGGGCTCGCTTCCTGTGCGGACTGCAGGCTGCCGGCTAGAGTTGTGTGCCATGCTGCAGTCTCCGTACACCCGAGGCGCTCTGGCCGAGTCCGTGACGTGACTGTGACGCTGTGTTTCGGCGTAAACGGGCGACTTCACGCTCCCTGTTTTTGTTTGCACACGCCCTGTGCTGTCTCCAGGTTCCCTGGTCCTAGCCTCCCCAGCCCACGTGCTCAGTGGCGTGCGCACAGATTCCCCAGCACTACGCCTCCGCACGTCCACCGCGAACATTCAGTGCGGTGCCATCCCATCCTCCACTGCACGTGTCCATATCCTTAGTACCATGTTTTCCTATCCCAGCGTCGCGTCTCCCCATCTGAAGCACCTCACCTCCCCTTCTCAGCAACATATCTCGCGATTCCATGACCTCGTCTTCTCATCCCAGCGCCGTGTTTCGCCATGCCAAGCACCTCATCTCCCCATTCTCCGTCGTCACGACTCCCCCGTCCCGCTCCCTCATCTGGCGGCGCCGTCGCCGGGTCTCCCCGTCGCCTGCACGCGGCGGTCACGCGTCCTCTCATCATCGGCCGGCCGTGCCCCCGGGCCGCTCGCGCCGCGTGCGCCGTTCCCGTTAGCCGCCGCGTGGGTGGCGCGGCGCTGCCGTCGGCTCGTTTGCGCCGCAGCCGCCGTCGGCAGAGGCCGGCCCTGCCCGGAGGAGGCCGCCGGGGGCGAGCCCGCGGAGGAGGCGTCCCTGGACGCTCCAGGCGACATCCTCCCTGCCTGGTTTTGGCGTCAGCCTGCGGTCGGGGTCAGCAGCCTCTCCTCAGAGGAAAAGACGCGAGGCGCATGGTCTGCTTCTTCTCCGTCCAGATCCCCAGGAGTCTTTGCATCTTCTAAGCTTCTGTTTATGAAACATTAGCAACGTATCTTCCCAATCAACGCCTATTGCTACTGTTAACTGTCACGGGCATTCTTTGGCACAACAACAACTCACTTGGACCCAACATGCAGACGTTATCAACAAAAGCCGATAACGTCCCGGATGCTCCGGCATATCCATGGCTAGCATTAAAGGCATTATCAGCCGGTTGATAGGAGCATAGCCGTCAGTTGGCTAACAGTTATATACGAGTCTGTTGGTTTGCAATGACGCCATTATGTACTGACAAAAGCGATGAGAAATGGACAACGAAACGTTGTTATCCGTTGATTAACACCGCTGTTCTCAGCTGCTTGACAGCGATGCCATTTTCCGCTGGTTAGCAGCACATCCCTCAGCAGCAGGTGCAGCGGTAGCAGGTAGCACTGTACCCAGCTGTGCCGCGGCCGCCGACTGCCCGCCACGGTGCCGCCCGGCCGCCCGGTGGAGCACCGCGCCCGGCAGCCGAGCGTGGCGCGTTTTCGCACGCCGCGCGCACCGGCACGACCGCCGCCGCCCGGCGCGCCACGCGTCACGGGCCTGTCAGCCGCGGCCCGTGACGCCACCGCGGGACGGAAGCTAATCACGCCGGCGGAACGTGCGTGACGGGGGGGGGGGGGGAGAGACAGCGACTCAAGTGACATGCAGGGCTTGTTTGGGGAGGCAAAAAGAGGTGAGGCAGTTATCAGATCAGGCCTGTCAATTCAAATGAATATCAACGCGAGCATTCGACATTGGGGTTGGTAATAAAAGGGCCCGAAATTTGCGGCACGCTTGCAGCACGAAACTTCGTATTCACCAAAGGAGGAAACTTAAATTAATATGGTGGCAGAACCACCTGAGTTAGATCACCCGTCGAAATATGGGAGTAATTTTATGTGTAACCATAATACGTATAAATCTTGCACGAATACATCCCGCGGAATTGCAGGAGGATTTGGCTGGAAACAGATTTGGCAATCAGTACGTCACCAACTTTTGTTAAGCGTTTTAATGAAAAACACATTTCCTGAAAGCTCAGGTAAGTTTGCTGCAACATGTGCAGATCAGAACAGGAACTTCGGTATCACAATTGCTGAAAGCTGAACGGTTGATTTTACGCGCTGTGAATACCAATGATTCGTGCTCGTCATCCATGTCAACATTATTGCCATCTGCAAGAAAAGTCTTCCCAAGTTTAAAGTAAACAAACCTGCGAGTTGCACATGAAGTCATATAAGTATAGCACAGCAGATTCCACACCGGCGAATATCTAAGTAGTTTGGCTCATTCCAGGGCTGTATCCTCATTCAACTGGTGCCTTAAAACAGGCAGCGGATGTGTAACCCCTGTTTCAGTGCTCGGGCGGGCTCCGAGTGAGCGTCTCTCACTTCAGTGACCGTAGGTTGACGTCCTTGCGGCGACGCTTATTGATATGTGGCTTTTAGACCAAGGATTGCCGGAGCGGAACCCTTGAATGCGACCGGGCTCATTAGATGTGGATGAGGAGATGCCGGGTCGTTAGGCAGTACTATGAAAAACCGCGCCACTCGCCGATTTAGAGGACAGGCATAACGTGAAATCATTAATATAAATTCTCAGCAATTAGTTTTTTGCCATGACAAACGCTCCATGCTTTTTACTAGGACTTTGACGAACTGACTGAGCGAAACCGTCATGGGCGATAATAGGCCCTGGGCGCCCCCCAAAATGTGCTTGAAAGCCGTTGTCTTTTTGCTGAGGCAAAACAATCGATAGCGACATCACGAACCGGACAGATATAACAGCGATGGCATATGAACGTAGATGGGGAAAGCACGCCAAACACGGTTTTTGTGTGGTGTCAATCAATAAACTGACGTCGAAGGACACAGTCAGAGCGATATTGAAGCGCACTCAAATCGGACCCGCCAGCATCCGACTGGTGGATGTTCAGACCGACCGCTGGCACTGGAAGAATGGCGACGGACCTCCTGTTAAAGGACCCGAGTTCGAATCTCGCTTGATGTATAATACCCCCCCCCCCCCCCCATGACGGCGCCGCGACAGCCGTCGTGAGTTATCGCCGCGTTTTAGAGCAATAGCAGTTCAGTGCGTTGAAACCAAGTATGAAATACGAGCAAAAACAGTGGGATGACCTCTAGCTGACCAGCATGTCGAGAGCACTTCTCCACCGCACAACCTCCGTTTGAACACTCAGCGACTTCCGATCATGTGACCCGTGGTCGGCTGACCCTGGCTCCGCGGGAAGCTCCCCGGCGGGAGCCCAGCTCGGCGTGATCCCTGTGCTCCCGAAGGAGGCCAGTCAGGAGCGGAGGCGGCGGGCGGCGAGGGGGTGCCGCTTCAGCAGCGGCGCACGCGGGCAGCCCCGGCGAGCGCGACTGCCGCCCAGCGACGCTGCCCGGCACACGCCGCACACACGGGGGTGCGTCCCCCCCACGTCCCCAGCCGGTGACGGTGCGGCCGGGCATGACTGCGGGGAGTGGTAGGGCTTCCTGCTTGCGATGGTAGCCATGGGGAGGGGGGAGAGTGTCCAGTTTTATGCGAAAGTGGTGCAGTTGCTGGCACGCTGCTTTGAGATCAATTGCTCGCATTTTAAGTTAATAACATAGTCGTCCTCAAAGGCTCTAGGGCAGCTAATAAGCATCGATGCGCATCAAGATAACGTTCCGACTATATTTAATCCAAAGCCCAACACACGAATCATGCAATAGCCTTCAAAGTACTGGGGCAAGGGCAAGGGTGTCGATGTCTCAGATACACCAGGTTCTTATGCGCAGTCTCAGACTGCCACATCAAAAGTGTTTTTTTATATTGACAGACTCTTCAGGCTGACATGTCCCTTCTTCGAAGCGGCTACATCCTTCTGTTGTCTTTAATCTAAGTAGGGCACAAGCGGACTGGGTGCTTTTTACGGTAAACAATGCAGGTCAGCGTCCAGAACAATGCATCGTTCGCTCACAGGGAACAATATCGCTATAAACTACTCATATGACCGTGTCACATCGTATCATGGGAGCTGTGCCAACGGGCAGTGACAGCAATATTTCACCGCTTATGCTGCAAGGACTGCGGAGAACCTAGGCTGGAATGCTGGGGGGCCCCTCCGGAGCACAATCGCATAAGCGGGGCCCGGTGCCGGAGAACCTGCTTCAGATGGGGTGGACGGGAGGGACGAAATGTGCCTCCAACCCCAAACGCAAACACCAAAGTAGAGACCGGGAGCCACCAGATTCCCACGCTAAAACACGGCGTTGTTGGAGCTGGTGTCCTTTCCGGCTGCCCCTGGCCTAGCACAGACACCTGCTTCACCCAGCACCCGGACATTCCGCACAGGTGCGGCATGTCGGGGTGAAGGA